AGGTGAATAGAATAATAAATTCTAAGGACAAGAAGGAAGACTATGAAGATATATCTCAGATTAGAGTCATTTTTCCTGTTTTAAATTTTCCATTTCTTGTTTCCTGTATGTTTTGCTTTTTTATATAGATAGATAGATAGATAAATTTTTTAGAGGTTTTTGCTATAGGGTGCATGCGCTTGCCAGAAAGAGAGAGACAGAAAGCTAGAAATCACCCCCTAGGGGGATGGTCGTGTCTCAATCCCTTCTCCTCTTGGGATCTTGGGCACTCAGGCACATGCACCCAGCGTGAGTTAAAGCCACCAGGTCTGAGACTCAAACCACAGTCGATTACATGCGAGTCCAGCAACATAGCCATTACACCAACTGCTGGTCCCAAGTCCAGTAAAATCTTTTATATAAAGTTCTAGAATAGAAGGGAGAAATATTTGTCTGAACATTTCTTACAACTTGGATTCTATTATAGCATAATTTATGAGAACCCCATTAGACAAATGGGAGAAATTAGCACTTCTGGCAATGATTTTAAAAATGAGCAAAAACAGAACCAGTAGGTATATGGTGGCTGGGGCTATGGACTCCCATATGGCCGACAGTGGTTCAAATCCTAGACCTGGTGGTTTACTTTATTGCTTTCTCTCTCTCTCTCTCTGTCTTTCTCTGGTGAGTACACATGCCCTGTAGATATTTTTTTTAATAATAATAAAATCAAATTAAATAAATAATTCTTTTTTTAAAAGATGAAAAAGTCACCAGCAATTACTACAAGTTAAGAAACTGGTAAGATTTATTTAAATTATCTCCCTCACACACCAGTACTACTGGCAAAAGCAAGAGACAGGCACTGCATTGGTGAATTAAACCCACCTCAATAACTTTAAAACTCTATCTCCATACCCAAACTCTAGCCATACATCTCAGGCCTTGTTCAGGAGACAGACTTCTTTTTAAATTGGACCCAATGTGGCTGATAAGATGCATGCTCCAGTGATGTCTGATTAGAGTTAATGTTCTTATGAGAATCCCCAAGCTGAAGAGGACCAAAAGAGAGATCCTCAAAACTCCTGTGTAAGCACAACACACACAGCACAGCACACACAAGATACACGGACAGAAACCACAATGACTAGGAACATTGTTCCACAACCTTGGTTTCCAAGTCAGAGGAGGGAAATCCTCATCATTCTGGAAATAAGGCACAAATGCCATTGCAAAAACCAAAGTGCACACTTCTTTGGCCTGACCCTGCATTCTACAGCTCACAGCCTACCCAGTTATGTGGTTCTAATGCCCTCATTCTGTATCACTGTTAGCAATAACAGTCTCTTCCTTCATTCTGGGACTAACTGGCCTCCTTTTTACAACACTTTCAATGTATGAAAGACTTCACCTGCACCCAGCAAAATTACTGAGACCACAGCCTCAGATCGTATAGTCTTGTGCCTCCTGTTGAGGAACAATGAATAATGAGTTCATAATTTGTGTAAGTTCATGTCAGAGGCATCGTATTCTATTGTAATGTATAAGAAACAAGCAGATTATTGTTGCTCGTGGAGTATTTTCAAATCAGTAATACATCTTTCACAGGCCTATTTAGGCCTATAAGAAACCCAGGGTTTCTTATAACTCAAGAGTAACCACATGAAATTTGTTCAACATATGACTAAGAGGGGAAAACACTCAGTTGAGAAAGAGACAAAATGCAGTGCAGACTCAGCAATAGCAAAGATGCCAGATGAGTCAGGTGTTCTAGTATTCACTGTAAAAGTAGAAGAAAAAATAGAATGTACGGTGAACACCAATTTTACGGTGGAGAAAAGACAGAATATAAACAATATTCCAGCTCTCACCATGGGAAATGCTTAGTCTTTCGTTTACACGTTAAAGGAACGCAGATGCACAAATGATATAAAACCCATGGCAACCTATAAAAAAACTAGTATGTGGTCGCTTACCTAAAATAAGCTTGTATTTACCTTCTTAATGTGTTTACCTGATACCTACTATAAAGTTGGCTGCCAAGGTAAGAACTCAGCAAAGATATAACTGAATAGATAAAGGCTAAGGGCAGAGTCAACTCCATCTTGAATAGTATTTCAAAAAGGCAATGAAACAGGTTAAAGGAATAGAAGGTAGAGTACCAGTAATGCAGGCACCCAGACCCACATCCTCACAAAGAGAACATCTTGATATACGATACCCCCAAAACTTATGCTCAGGTAGGAATTTTTACTTACAGCCAGAGACTAGGAAGGTGAAAATTCCCACCAGAGCGAGGAGTGCCAAGAACTTCATGCTGGTGAACTGAAGATCAGGGAGTACAACAGGAATGCTTCAGAGCTCAGGGGAAGGCACAGCACTGACTCCGGGATTCCACATCATTACGATATATATGCAGAGGGCACCAATTAGTTATTGCCAGACCATAATCTGAGTTAGATAATTCCAGGAAAAGTTGTGGCACCAAAGCAACCATAGGAGAGTCAGTAGTACAGCCACAGGCCCTTTGGAAGGATCATAGCTTTTTATTTGTGATTCTGATGGCATGGGTTTTGATACAAGAGTTTTCCATATTAAATATTTTCCAGGAAATAACTTTTCTTCCAGGTTTCTTCTTACTTGTAGAGTACCCCTATTATTGCCAGCTTTTCTGACAAGTTGGAGAGGCCCCATAGCCACTCTATCTCATAACTGCAGTGCTTCATTCATAGACAGAAGATATAAAATTACAGCATGCTTAGCCCTATGTCTCCTCAAAGGAGGATAACCCCAGCAAAGCACCCTGATCCAAAGACCACCCTATGTAACTTGGGCCATACTTCTTCAAGGCATGGTCTTCCTGTGCATATGGTTAATATTCTGACAAGTGATGAGTAAGTCCCACACTTAAGAACAATCTTTGAACTCCCTAAATGAAAGAAATTCTTATATAAAATGCAATATCAAGAAGTAAGAAGATAGGAAACTAGGACCAGCAGGTGGTGTAAGGGTTGCATCGCTAGACTCCCATGTAGTTGACCGTGGTTCGAGTCCTAGACCTAGTGGCTTAAAAGTCACACTGGGCACATATGCATGCGTACCCAAGATCTTGAGAGGAGAATGGAAGAGAAGGGATTGTGGCATGGCAAAGAAATATCAGTAAGCAAAGCACACAAAAATTCCTGGTTCTACATCTTTTCATAGTAATATATACATTAAAAAGGGAAGGTTAGGATAAAGAAATGGAGAAAGAGAAACGTCTTTGGCCTTCACCACCTCTCTTCCTTCTCATGAGCCAGGGAACACAGCAGAGAGAGTATACACCTACCTACATGCCACATAGCCAACCTCTCTAGGCAGGTCTGCAACTCTTTGTGAGTCACAATACTTGGAGGGCAGGCAGAGGAGGTACAGGAAAATCTGGTGAAAGCATAATTAGGGCAGAGTCAACTCCATCTTGAATAGTATTTCAAAAAGGCAATGAAACAGGTTAAAGGAATAGAAGGTAGAGTACCAGTAATGCAGGCACCCAGACCCACATCCTCACAAAGAGAACATCTTGATATACGATACCCCCAAAACTTATGCTCAGGTAGGAATTTTTACTTACAGCCAGAGACTAGGAAGGTGAAAATTCCCACCAGAGCGAGGAGTGCCAAGAACTTCATGCTGGTGAACTGAAGATCAGGGAGTACAACAGGAATGCTTCAGAGCTCAGGGGAAGGCACAGCACTGACTCCGGGATTCCACATCATTACGATATATATGCAGAGGGCACCAATTAGTTATTGCCAGACCATAATCTGAGTTAGATAATTCCAGGAAAAGTTGTGGCACCAAAGCAACCATAGGAGAGTCAGTAGTACAGCCAGAGGCCCTTTGGAAGGATCATAGCTTTTTATTTGTGATTCTGATGGCATGGGTTTTGATACAAGAGTTTTCCATATTAAATATTTTCCAGGAAATAACTTTTCTTCCAGGTTTCTTCTTACTTGTAGAGTACCCCTATTATTGCCAGCTTTTCTGACAAGTTGGAGAGGCCCCATAGCCACTCTATCTCATAACTGCAGTGCTTCATTCATAGACAGAAGATATAAAATTACAGCATGCTTAGCCCTATGTCTCCTCAAAGGAGGATAACCCCAGCAAAGCACCCTGATCCAAAGACCACCCTATGTAACTTGGGCCATACTTCTTCAAGGCATGGTCTTCCTGTGCATATGGTTAATATTCTGACAAGTGATGAGTAAGTCCCACACTTAAGAACAATCTTTGAACTCCCTAAATGAAAGAAATTCTTATATAAAATGCAATATCAAGAAGTAAGAAGATAGGAAACTAGGACCAGCAGGTGGTGTAAGGGTTGCATCACTAGACTCCCATGTAGTTGACCGTGGTTCGAGTCCTAGACCTAGTGGCTTAAAAGTCACACTGGGCACATATGCATGCGTACCCAAGATCTTGAGAGGAGAATGGAAGAGAAGGGATTGTGGCATGGCAAAGAAATATCAGTAAGCAAAGCACACAAAAATTCCTGGTTCTACATCTTTTCATAGTAATATATACATTAAAAAGGGAAGGTTAGGATAAAGAAATGGAGAAAGAGAAACGTCTTTGGCCTTCACCACCTCTCTTCCTTCTCATGAGCCAGGGAACACAGCAGAGAGAGTATACACCTACCTACATGCCACATAGCCAACCTCTCTAGGCAGGTCTGCAACTCTTTGTGAGTCACAATACTTGGAGGGCAGGCAGAGGAGGTACAGGAAAATCTGGTGAAAGCATAATTAGGAAATAGATGAGAATACTGCATGTTAGTGGGTTTAACATGGATAGTAAGAGGTCAATCAAAGTGTGAGACTTCACACACACACACACACACACACACACACACACACACACACACACAAAGTGAAAAGGGCCTTTGAAATCATCATGGCTACCATGAGCAACCTGCTTACCCTGTGGAGCTGATCAACCCAAAGTACCAAATCAGAATATATACATACATTTGAATGTGATGAATGTGTCTGACTTTGACTTTCCTCCTGGATTCTACTATTCCACAAAGGCTCTGCGGAAGAATGAAGAAAAACAAGTCCACTATAAGCACTCCAGTGAGTACCAACTCATTGACCGGGCCCTTTACTCCCTGGACAAAGCTGATGTCAGCAGGTCCATGTTCCAAGCAGGATCTGCTTTGATGACATCCTGACTTCTGGAATCCTTGAGACCAAATTCCTTGTAGATAAAGTCAACTTCCACATGATTTACATGGGCTGTAAGAGTGATGAATACTACACATGAATCCAGCACTTCAGTGATGCAACTGCCATGATATTAATGGTCATCTGTAGTCCCAACATGGTAATCCATGAGAACAACCAGACCAGCCTCCTCAGGAGGCCCTGAAATTCTCCAGAGCATCTGTAGCAACAGGTGACTGTGCACCATCTCTGTGACTATTCCTCAGCAAGCAAGAACTAATTGCTGAGAAAATCAAAGATTAAAGACTGCTTTTCCAATTTGTTCCCACCACTACCTCTGAGCCCCATGAGAATCCACACATGACCCAAGCCAAAACCTTCATCCATGATAAATTTCTCAGAAGCAACACTGCTAGTGGAGATGGACACCACTACTGCTAGCCTCACCTCATTTGCAACATGGACAATAACAACATCTGCCATGAAATCATTCAGCATGTGCATCTTCATCAGTATTAATTTCTCTACATAGATAACTGTTAAATTTAACTAAAGTCTAAATCACAAGTAATTAAAAGTGAAAGGTAATTGTATAAGCAGTAAATCACCCAGCATAAGGCATGATTAACAAAATAATCCTCCCCTGGTCCAGTGGTCTTAGGAAACCCCTTTTCTCTTCAGATTACTTAGATGTTTCAAATATAGAATTATGTAGCCTTGAAAAAATATCTAAATAAAAATAGTAGCAAATAAAAAAGAGAAAAAAGAATAAAGAAGGAAAGAAAATAGGAAGAAAGAGAGGACAGAAAGACACTGTTACATGGAAGGTGATTAGGTCTAATAAAAAGTAATACAGAAAATAAGAAATGTGAGTATGGTCAGAAATCGAAAGTGTGATTGTAATTTTATATAAAGTGGACAACAAAGGCATTACTAAAACGATAATATTTGAACAAAGACATGAAGGTGTTGAGGCACTGATCATGTCATATCTTGGGAAAGTATGTTCTGAGGAAAG